TTTTCTTTCAGCAATCAAGATACCATGATTCATAATCTCTTTCATTTAAATCAAGAACGTGATCTTTTACTTAAGCTTTCTTTCTTTGAGATCACTGAGATCTCGAGATCTCGAGCGGAGCAGCAGACGGAGCAGAAGACCTTTGGATCATGAACCAAATATCCAAACTCGAAATCGAATTCCAGAACGATTAACGAACCAGGTGAAAAAAGGATTCTCAAGTCACCGGACTTTGTAATTACAACAAGTTTACAAAACAGGCTGGATGTGGATATATGAGTTTTCTTACTCGTCGGGTGTCCTTGACAAGTTGAGAGTCAGACTGACCATTTACATAGAGCATCATGATTCGCCAGTTCCCCACAATATGGGCTGTGGGCTGTGTTAAAATTCAAATACGTGAGCAAATACAGTGGGGGAGAATGATCCGAGCTAGCGGACTGTGGATGTAAAAGATCTTGTATGTAAAGGACACACCTTCTATATCGTGATTGTCGAGCAAGACAAGAAGTCTAGAGTATGTTGATATATAGGAATCCATTCTGAGAACATTCTCAACTATCATCCACCCAAAAGGAGGGAAAGTCTGGTGTTTGAAAGTTTTATCTGGTTGGGTTTTTTGAAAGCTTTGAAAATCATAATCATCTAAACATTGATGGGTTTTGATGCATGATTGGGTTTCAACTTATCATTATTTTACACACTCCTGATTTTTTTTCTTGGGTAACCTTTTTATGGGGAAATCTGTGATCTGATTCCAGGCTATGTATGTATAAACCTGTGAAAATGTCAATTTATGCATATCTTACTTGAACAACCATTCTTAAATAGTTAAATAAAGGATTTTTACAAACTGTGAGAGAAAAAATCTACGGCACTTGAGCTAGGGTTCAATCATGACTAAATGAATTTTTTGACTTTGAAGGATTGTTTCTGTTGGTTGAGCATAAATCTAAATAGGCAGCAAATGGAACAAACTGTTCAAGTTTTCATCTGGATTCATTTTGAATTACATGATAATTATCAATCATTCTCTTCTAATACTCAATATCCCCACAAAGCTTTTCTCAATCACCCAAAGCTACAACAGTCAATCAAAGCACATGATGACCAGATTGAGAAATACTTTGCATGTTTTGAAAACTCTTGGTTCTGTCAACTTTCTTTACAATCTTCCTGGAATGTAGCCATACACATATCATGCCTTTCAACCATACTTTGTACAGGTGACTCTGAGGCACCCAATTGGGTTCTCTTTCACAAGCCCTGGTTCTGGTGATCTTGATAGTTGATCAAGCATAACTCAAAGATCCCCCAATTCGAACAAACTGTCATACCTTTGATCTTGATTCTCAGACATATTCTCCTTCTGACCTTTGATCTCCAAACCCATTTTTGATCACACAAAGCTGCACTTCATGATGTGTTCATTCTTGTTGTTGTGTTTGATGGTTACTTGAACCAAAGAGGATATGAGAAGTCTAGAAGAACAAGCCTAGCTGAACGTATCGTATGTGTGTACTGGAGCACCTACTGACCATTATCTATCAATCTGCAGTTGCAATCAATTAGCTTTTTGTTTGGTCTTCAAAGTATTGAACTACATCTCTTTTTTTTATGTTTCTCTCTTTTTTGTTCCCCCTAAAAAAACTGTCTCTCTTATTTTATTTAAACTTATAGGTAACAAGATAAAATTTCTTATCTTTTTTATCTTTTTTTTTACAACCTAGTGGCATGCTGTCTACAAGTTTGTTTATCAGGTTTATAAGCTGATATTTTATATCCCTATTTCTTTCTTGTCCATAGTTTCACATCTTCCTCTTTAGGTTTGAAACTTTCCAACATTGATTTTGCAAGGTTTTTGGCTCACAGAAACACTCTACCACATCTTTACAATACTTACTGTGGATCACACTACATCAAATTATTAAGATACTGGTAAGCATTGAAGAAAATTTTCAAAGGTACATGATCAGAGGTCAGAGAAAAATGGAAAAAGTTTATGGTAGAATCTGTGTTTGGATTTGATGATCATTTTGGATGTTTTGGATTATTTTTTATCTGAAGTTTTGAAGATGTGATTATAGAGAAACCTGATCACATGGAATATCATATAACAGAAACTCAAAATATGTTCAAAACTAACAAGATTTTGGCAAAACAAAACCTTCCAAACCCACAGATAAGTCAATTTTTGTTGAATTGATTCAATACTTGAAGTTTATGAAAGTCAAATGATGTGTTGAAGGCATTTGGAGTGATGATTGATAAACTTTTGTAGGCTTCCTGCTGCTAAAACATTTCAAGAGTATTAGAATGCACTGTAGGATTCAACCATTAGTTTTACATATCTTTCTGACTCCTACCAATAAGCCAGGTCTCAGCCAGATCCCTACAAGTTCTTGATTTAGCTGGGCCTTTCCTGGACTTGTTTCATTTATTCTGAACTTTTTTCACCTATTGATCAAAACTCTTTGTTTCAACTCTCTCTAATCACTGTTGATTACTTAATTGTATCTATTAGATCTTTCTGGCCCTACTATCTTTGCTAGAGTGCATTAACTCTTTACACTCTTCCTACATAGCTTCTTGGTTTTCTGAGAAAAGTTGGGGATGTTGATACCCCAACCGGGCTCCTGTTCCGGCAGAGACGGGTCAGGAGCTGGGACAATATGTACTGAGTATCATATGTTGTCCATAACATACGGCTTATGTAGATCTTGCATAACTCAACAGATCGTTTCCCGAATCCTTTTTTTTAAAGTAACACAGCCACTTCTCCAATGCATATGAAGTTCAAAGTTTAAACCAAAACATCTTTCAGACTCTTTCCCCACCCATTTTTTTGAAAATTCTTTGCGGCATTCAACTGAATTTGTTTAGGAAGGTTTAGTGTCTTTTGGACATATGCACAACATGGGCAAGGGAAGATGTTTACATGAATCTATTTGATTAAGAAAATCGTCTTGGTCAATCAAGGTTTGAAATGTCCAAGTTTAGACCGTCTTGGTTCAACCTTCAAAGGATATTGAAGAGTGAATTGATTTATTGGAGATTTTTCTTTGATCATACATTCTTTACGAGTCAGCGAAGGTCAGCTACTCTTGGTCTAGCTTCTTATTTTCAGATGGAAATGTATGATTATTACATGATGTGTGAGCTGTCTGAGTCTCTCTGTGTTGATCCTCAATCATGTGTTATAGACAGCATATTACGGCTTATGTAGATCTTGAAGAAGTTCATCGGATCATTTCCCGAATCCATTTCTTTGAAGTAACACAGCCACCACCACCACTTCTCAATGATACATGCGTAAAGTTTAAAATTCTAAACCAAAACATCTTTCAGACTTATTCCCCACCTTTTTTTATGAAAATCTTGCAAGTGAATTTGTTTATGCGCCGTCTCTTAGATGAGCAACACTTTTAAAGGAATCCATTCGCTCAAGATCCGTTTTGGTTGATCGGGGTTTCGAAGCTTCAGAATTTCAAACTGGGTTCAAAGGTTATTGAAGTGTAAATCGATTTGTTGGAAGAGTTTTCTTTGATCATATAGAACTTTTCAAACAAAAGAAAAAAAAACTATGGATGGTGTTGCATTTAAGATAAAGTTTAGTCGAGTGGGATTTCGATTTCGATTTGATTCATAGAGGAGTTTTAGAGGATTAAAAATGTGTTTCTTAAAATAAAACAAAGCTTGGTTCAGATTATGAATGCATGTAAAATGACTTTTTGGAAAATTTGTGTAAGGAACAAAAAATCAAACCTGGATCTATAAGACACAAGGATTCAAGTTGATCAAGACATTAAAGACTACGAAATCATTTTGTTACTTCTGCATAAGCTCACAAGGTCATCACCTTTGTTTTTTATATTTGAAGTCGTCTAAGTGGTACATATATAGATTCTAAAATAATAATCATACAGTCTCAGAGGGACGAATTACTAATACCATCTGATATGCATATTTAGGATCCAGTTTGTTGTATACCTCATTTTGATGAATCCACAGTGCTGATAAACATGATGTGATTAAAACCACACCTCTTATGTTTTTTCTTTCAAGCATGTTGACCTTTGATCCCTTGAACTTTTGGTCATCTTGGTGGTAAGGAAGAGTGTATGTAGGTGGTAACGGTGCCACAAACCAAATTTAAAAGATAGGGATTTCTAATATATTTGCAGGGGTTGTGCTAAATTAAGGATAGTGTTAAGTAGACGATTGTCAAAACATGATATGAATGTTGAGGCAAACAAAGTTAGATTGGCTAAGGTCTTGTTTTGTAAGAGCAAAAAAGATACTTTTAATAGCTTGAATCAAATGATGTTAACTGCCCAGTTATCCCAACCCATAATACGCTGTCAAGAAAACAACAACGGGGAGGGGGAGTTGTCAAGCTTTGATCTAGTTCAATTTTTTGTTGAGAGGGAGAGAAATGGAGTTTCACAGTTGAATGACCAATAATATGCAGATCAATACCCAATACGTGCCAAACTTTTCTGGTTTCATGCCATATCGAGTTGAAATCTTAATAACAATCTCAACTGATTTAAAAGTTTAACTCATCTACAATACCTACCCAAGAATCTGGAAAGATATGTGAACATAAGTTTGATTATATCAACTTAGCAGTATAGAAAACTTCATTGACTTTGTCACATATTTATGAATTTATCAAAAGGTCTGAATCGCAATAAGTTAAGAATCGAACCAAAAGCTCATAAACAGTTCTGAATAACTCAATTTCTAAGCTACGACCTTGGATAAAGATCTTACTTTAAGAAATCTTACTCGTGTGAGGATCAAGGTGTAGAAAAGCTTGATATAACTCATGATGAACTAACCAGAGATGGAGTTCGTTTGAAATTCAAGTTACTTATTCTCAAATACATCCTCATGAACCAATGTATGAGAATAGTCAAAAGGAATTGGTACGTTGGCTTTCGATTGATCACTTTGAAAAAAATGAATTTGTATTGAAGAAAAGATCAAGGTTCTATGGTGAATTTAGTTTCAAAAGATTGATCATTGATCAGACATAGAGATCGAGATCTTAATTTTCATTTTCATTTTCAATTTCGATTTATGGATAGGTTTAGAGTTTAGGTTCGAGATCACTACTTCTAATGATGGTTGTTTTTATGAAACTTAAGGTGCATGTTATCTAAAAAAAACCATCCAAGATGTCAGCTTTATCTTCAAGAAAACCAGTGTCTCCCGATTCCGCAGGTTGGGGGGTTTAGAAACGAAAAAGATTAGACTTACATTCGATAGTGTAACTATTCAAGAAGAAAGCAAAAGTAACAAAGTTTGAATATAAGTAAATAACTCTGAAAAATGTTCAAACGATCATGATTTTTAAATAAAAAGAAATCCTTACCCTACAACAAATAATCCCAAGATCGCATGAAGTAAAGGTGCAGCACTAGCATTTTCTCCATCGATATATCTTGCTTTGTAACGAGCAAATGGGTTTAATCCAGCTGATGGTTTAGGAGCTGAACCTTTAGGAAGCTATTATGTATGAATCAAAACCAAAAGAGAAAGAAAAGAAGAAAAGAAGAATTGAGTTTTTTGATTTTGTGATAGAATAGGAGTGAATGAAGTTTCGTACCTTTGAATAAAATTCGACTACTCTGTTCATCCTAGCAGCAGTACTTGAACCCGTAAGAGCTTGAACTGAGGCAATCTTGGGAGGAATTAGAGTTCTAAGTGATGACGACATTTTGGTTGATGATTTGAATGATTTGATCGGAGTTGGTTATTGTTCTTCTTCAAGTTGATCGTTCAATGGTCTGACTCTGACTCAAGAATCAATCAGGATCAAGTCGGATAGGTTAAGTACTTAGTGGTAAGGTCAGATCGATCGAAAACTAAACAAAACTAAGAAATGCTTTTAACGAGTATATGCTTTTATCGGAGTCAAATCCATAGGAGTTGGTAACTCGTTATTAACCGATGGGAATGTGATTCATTCGGAATGCACGGTACCTGTAAAGTTACTGACGGGTCGGACATTCTTTTTGTACTTCAGTCACTTACAAGGATGATGTCATAGGCTGTTGACCATCCTTTTTATTCATCTTCCCATCGTGTTTACATTCGTCAAAACTTCAATATCATCTTATTCGGTAAACTAGTTTAGTTCTTATATTTTGCGACTATTCACAACAAAACAGATAGGAAAGGTCGATAAAAATTTTTGATTATCCTTTCGCTAAAAAACCGTTTTTATCATTCAATTGTCTTATAAAAACCGTTCAACTTCCTTTTATTACTGTTCCACTCTAATCCATGAGTGACGATGGCAGCCATGATTTTGAAGCCGCTAGAGTGGTTTCCGAAAAGCTGGCCACCTTGGCCACCGATTATCAATTGGCCGGTGGTTCAAATGCTAAGACCATGTCCGAGGTCCGATCTTTATTTTCAACGATCGTGCCTTATTCATCCAAGAATTGGTATAAGCAGTGGTCAAAATTTGCATCTGACCTCATCGAGTTGGATAGAGAAGCAAACAGACCCATTTTCCTTAATGAAGGTCCCGTTCCTACTAACCCGGTATCATCTGACGAAGACACGGTTTACGTCTTCGACTTATCCACCAATCCAGCTTTACCGCCTGATGTCCCAGAAAGGGAAAGAAGTCGTGAAAGAAGTCGTCGACCTTCTCCGGCTAAAAGCAACCGCTCACGAGGTGGTATTCATATCCTTACCCAAGAAGAGATTGACAATGCCCAGAAGGCCAGAGATCTCCTGGACTCCCAGAATGGGCCTAGACGTTCCAGATCTCACTCTCCCTTTGTGCCTAGAACGCCAGCAGGGAAAAATAGAAGTTATAAAAGTGATGATGAAGTTGAGGATGAAGAGGAAGATGGAAAGAGACGAAAGATGCAGAAGTCATGGGAATGGGTCGATAGATGCGACACTGGCCCGTCTGCATCAGAACATCTCTCGGAAAGTGCCATCGCTTTCTCTCAAGCAGTTCGAGGTTATGCTCCCAATCTTACAAAAGCTGTCGAAGGGTTTAACGATAGGGTTAAACCAGCTGATTTTCCGTCTAATCTTTCTAAAGAATTATTACAAGGAAAGTATATTGACCTCCGAAGAATCAAAGGAGAATATATGGCGGAGAAGAGGGGTATGGCTACGAGTCTCATGGTGGCAAGTAAGGATAAAGATATTGAGCTTCAAAATAAGAAGGTATCTCAAAAACTGGACGACATCCAAGATTGGTATTATTACTTTGATATCCTTCAGCAAGCTTACCAAGAAGCCTTCCCTAAAGGCTTTAAGTATTTTCTTCAATATTCGATTTGGATCAAGCAAGAATTCATGTCGAATGGGCAAAAGGCCGATTGGACCTGCGTGGCGAACTTTGATGCGGCACTCAGGGGTCAGTTCGCAACTTGACGAGACATTTCGTTTGGTGACTGGGGGCATCAGAGCCTTGGAACACTTAGGACAAGGTATATGCACAAGGCTTTTGAAGAGAAGCCCTCGATGGGTTCAACGAGCGCTCGACCGTCTGGTGGAGGCCGTCAAAATCCTCCTTTTCAAAGCTCTAAACGAAATTTGTCTCCTCGCGCTTCGACTTCGAGATCTCAACATTCGCCGAATTATTATCAGTCAACTTACAAACATAAGGGTTTGTATGAAGTCGAAGATTCTGATCTTATCCCGGAGCGCAAGCAGTTTTGCTTTGCGCATAATTTGGGGAACTGCAAGTTGGGGAAGCCTGCCTGTCCTCGTATCCACCGATGCAATGTCAAAGGTTGCAAGAAAGACCACAAAGGATGCGATCACGTATGATAAAGGTCTTCAAGAAATTCACGCTGTCGGGAATATGGAGGGGTAGGTATTTGCTTCGAGTATGGTTATGCTTGGTTAAATTCCTGACATCTGAGTTTATTTCAGAACGTCACGAGATACAGGGATTGAGCCAGAGGATTCAACAGATTTGGTACAAGGCAACAGGAGAGAATATTTCGAAGAGGATAACTTAGAGGGGTTTGTATCTCGTATCTTTTAAATATTTCTCGTTTAATGGACGTTTGTTGGAGTTTTTGCTGACATTTGAGTTACATTAAGTCCAACATTTCCAGATACTTCATCAGCTAATGCTCGTATTTCTGTTGATTGTCCGGAACAAAAATTCCTTCGAGGTTATGTTTGGGACGGGGTAAATTCTCGAGGATGGTCGCCGGCGATTGAATCCAGCATTTACGCGGAGCCGTTCAAAGAAGCTCCACCTCTGTCGGATGATCCTCATGCAGCTTTCGCTATGGAACAATATCCCGATCTGTTTAAAATCATCACTCCGATATGTGTTGATAAACTGGAATCTTTGCTGATTCATCACCCTAATCGACCTTTTGTGGTTTCAGCATTGAAAGGTTTACGCGAAGGATTTTGGCCAAATTCATCACTTCCTTCAGCAGAGGTAATAGATCCTCCAAATCAGGTTTCATCTTTGGAGAATCAGAATTTATTGGAAGAACAGTGTCAAGAGGAAATTGATAAAGGAAGATATTCTGATGAATTCACTACTCTTTTAGAAGGAATGAAAGTCATTCCGCTCTTAATGGCTTCAAAGAAGGAATCGACCAAGATGCGGGTTCGTTCTAACATGAGTGCTGGGCATCCTTCGCCTAATGATCTCATCGACAAGCAGAGTATTCCGGTGGCTTATGACTCTCTCAAAACATTCATTCCTTATTTGATTGAGATGAAAGAAAAAGAAGGTGATGTTGTACTCTTCAAATCGGATATTGAGGGAGCGTTTAGAATTATTCCCCTTCATCGCCAATATCAGATGCGGCAAATTTATAGAATCAGAGGAAATAAGAAGAGAATTGATCATAATCTTAGTTTTGGTTCCTCTGCCTCACCGTACATTTGGTGCGGTGTATTTTCTTTAGCTCTATGGATAGCCGAATTCGTATTCAACATCAAGTTTTTAAATAACATGATGGACAATGTTTGGTCCGTCTGTCCGGCAAAACAATTCGTCAAATTTAAGGATCATTACATTCCTCTTCCTCAGGCCAAGCTATTAAACCTTTTCGATATTTTAGGTTTTCCATGGGTTTGGAAAAAGCAGCTCCACGGACCGGTTTTGGAGATCATTGGTCATATTGTAGATTCAAATAAAATGATTATTCAGTTACATCCCGACAAGAAAGCTCACCTCATTGAAAGACTTCAAGTATTTGTTTCCAGTCCGAAACATTCTCTTAATGATTGGCAGAAGATTTTAGGACACGCATCGTGGGCTTGCACCTCTATGCCCTGGGGACGATACGCGTTACAGAGTTTGTACGAGAAGTCTAGTAAAAAATCTCATCGTTTTCTTCAGATCCCTTTGAATAAAGAAAACCAGAATGATTTACGTTGGTTAATAACTTTTTTCCGAGATAGTAGTGGTATCATGGTGCTTGATTCGACAAGGTGGAGGTTAGAAGATGCGGATGCGGAATTTTCTACTGACGCTTGTATGTATGGCATTGGTATTTGGGAGCCCACTTCTAAAATTGGAAGATATTTCATTCTCCCACCACCGATTCAAAATATCTTCTGGGCGGAGCTTCTTGGGGTTATATCGGCAATCGACATAGCAATCAAGAACGGTTCAAAAAGAATTTTTATCCATTCCGATAATCAGAACGTTGTTGGTCTCTTTAGTTCTCATGCGCCGAACAAGATAGTAAGACCATTGTTCAGGCATTGTGTCATGCGAATAGTGGAAGCCAAGGCTGACGTAAAGGTGGTGCATGTTTCAGCTGAAAATAATTCGGAAGCTGATATTTTATCAAGGCAGAAAATTATTTTAACTCCAGATAAAGCTGATGTCATTAGTCATGCGATAGGCGCGGTCCAGGTTTCTTATTTAAATATCAGCTCGTGTCTGTCTTCTGGGGGTAAAGTCGCAAATCTAGTTTCAATGGATTCAGATTGACGTCATGCCTAAATCAAAATCTTCAATTTCTTCTTCAAAAAAGCCTGTCTTCAACATTTCTTTATCCGATCTACGAAAATTATCAAATCAAGATCAGCGCTCAACCATTTCTAAAATTTCTCTTTCCAAATATAAGTCTGCGTTTAAGAGCTTCGCTAAATTCTGTGTTTTGTACAAACAACCTTTTCTTCCTAATAAGCGGAATTTATGCGATTATGTCACTTACATGTCTCGAGTCATTTCGCCACGATTGGTTCGAGCTTATCTAGTTGGTATTCATCACATCTTCAAGTTAGAATTCCCTTCAATAATTTGTGAAACTTCCCACCAAGACGTCAAAGATACAATGAAATCATGTATTCAAAGTTGTTCGAAACCGGTGGTCAGGAAACTGGCTCTTACAGTTGAACAAATTGAATCAGTAGTTGCTAAGTCCTCTTCTTCTTACGACAACAAATTATTTTTAGGCATGTTAGGATTGGGGTTTGGGGGGTTGCACCGTTTAGGTGAACTAACAGTACCTGATTCCTTGAAGTTTTTTGATGCTAGAAAGATTATTCTTCGCTCAACTGTGCGCTTTTCAACATGCAAGAAGTTTATTCAATACAATTTACCGTATTCAAAAGGAGACAAAAATCATTTAGGTGCTCCGGTTATTATTCAAAGTTTTTCCAATACGTCCGCCTGTCCTATTCGACTCATCAAATCTTACTTGAGGATGCGAGATGAAAATTTCATTTGTTCACCCGAGCTATTTGTTACTTCAAGCGGTGCTTTGCCATCTCGGTCCTGGTTCATGTCTCGTTTTCGGGTTCACTTCAACAAATCTTTTTCTGGTCATTCATTGCGGTCAGGAGGGGCTACGGCGTTAGCCCAGTCAGGTCATACCATGGATTTTATCAAAGGAGCTGGCCGTTGGTCTTCTGATGCGTTTTTAATTTATGTTCGAGGTCATGTCGCTTTAAGATTACCGGAAAATCAAAACCACGTAATCGGCGATGTGTCTCACATAGGTTCCAAGGTTTCTTTTTCTTAAAAGTGAGTCTTGGTTGTTATTAAAAAAAAAAAAAAAAGACTGGTCAATGGCATTTTGCCTTCGTCTTGTTGTCAAACAGGGCCCTTTTGCCTTTGGTTTATTCGGATGGCTTCTTTATGCCTGTTGTTAGTGTTGTGGGCATTTTAACTTAGAAACTGACAAATGATTCCCTTCTCCTACTTCACCACTCTATGGATACGTCTGTAGGCGGGTCGGAGAGGGTCTTTTTGTTTGATTCAAGTAATTAAAACCCTGGGCTGATCTAGCCTAGGGATTCGCCCACAACCTTTGCTTTCAGTATTTTCAAATACTGGTTATTGTAAGTTTTGAGAATTACATTTCTAGGAGTTGGTAACTCGTTATTAACCGATGGGAATGTGATTCATTCGGAATGCACAGTACCTGTAAAGTTACTGACGGGTCGGACATTCTTTTTGTACTTCAGTCACTTACAAGGATGATGTCATAGGCTGTTGACCATCCTTTTTATTCATCTTCCCATCGTGTTTACATTCGTCAAAACTTCAATATCATCTTATTTGGTAAACTAGTTTAGTTCTTATATTTCGCGCCCACCCACCCTTATTCCCAGGTATTGAAGTCACGATTATTATTACTAAGATTTTTGAGTACTTTTTACGCTGATGAATTGAGTTAAGGAGATGTGGTGGGATTACTATTTCTTTTTTTTTAAAAAAAAAAAAAAAAAAAAGTTGGTTGGTTCTTTGTGATTATAATGTTGTCTTCAAAAAGATTGTGTTGGGCTTCATTTTACTTTTTCTTTTTACTTTTTTCCTATGGTTATGTTTCAATTTTTAGTAGGGTTATAGTTTCATTTATATCGAGTAGTGGCGTTTTCTTTACAAATTGTTTTAGGTCCGCTAGCCACCCCGTAGGGTCTTTTTGTTTGATTCAAGTAATTAAAACCCTGGGCTGATCTAGCCTAGGGATTCGCCCACAACCTTTGCTTTCAGTATTTTCAAATACTGGTTATTGTAAGTTTTGAGAATTACATTTCCTTCATTTGAAACTTGAAGCACTCACTTGAGCCCATCATGAAGAGATTGCTCAATCAAACAATTTCAAGCCTCAAGAAGTTAAAAACGTCTAGAATTCAATTAATGATCACAACTTTAAGATCAGCTAGATTTGGACACATTAACAAATTATCTCATAAAAGGCACCAATCAAAACTCATGGTTTATGCTTCCTTTAATTCAGATCTTGTCACTTTGGCTTCAAGTTTTGTTTAAATAAGTTCAAGTCTTGGAGTTGATGTTTGAGAAATGGCTCATTAGAGATCTCAAGAACAAAAAACCTTATATGGGCACCAAGCTAGTGTAGTACAGCCTCTTGAACGTCCTCAACAGTCTTCCTTCATACTTGACCTTAAGGAACCAAACAATAAAGGTGAGAACTGGTTTTATCGCTTCTTGCTCGTTAGGTCAAGGTTTCCGTATATGTGATCATACCTATACACTTCCACACACTTGAACAAATCACTCGATTTCCTCTGATCTCTTTTGAGTGAAATTTTGCAAAAGATCTTCGCGTGCTTTGCAGGAGCTCTGGTGAAGCTTGTGAGCTAAAGAAAAATCATAACCAGCCATAAGCAAGATGATCTCATTACATAGAATTTCAAGCTGTGTATAAACCAATAAGAGATACTCCAAAAGATCATTAAGTATGTCAAGAAGTCATCAACTCATTAATCATGTTTTAGATGGTCTACATTCTAAAAACATACGTTCGATCTCACGATGAACCGTTTCACTCTCCTCTGAGCTACTACCCGATTGAAGTTCTTTTGAAAGTTTTGGTTTTCCTTTTTGTGAAGTACTAGGTGTTTGTGATTTTCTTTTTTTACTTGATTGAGAAGTGGATGTGAGATCAGAAGTCGATTGAGTTTCGCTGGTACTTCGTTTTTTCGGATTCGATTTGATTTGAGTACTTTGAAATGGTTTTTGAAATCCACTGGTCTTAGGAATCTCTTTGGTAGGTTTCTCATTTGTTACTTTAGCTTGGGAGGCTATCGGAGGTTTTGGTTGACTTCGTGCTGGCTTGTCTTGCGATGGATTGACTGGTTTACGCTTCACTTTTGTCGAGCTAGACTGTTGTGTGTCTTGAGGTCGAGAAGGTTGTGATGATTGTTGAGCAGCGGCTAAAGATGTGGAAGGCTTGATGATAGGTTGTCCTAATTGCTTTTGACGCAAAAAACGAATCAGGAGAAAATCCAATAAAAGAAATTGGATTAGTTAAATTCGATGAAAAAAGATCAGATTAGGGTCAGGAGAGGGATATGAAAATGAGTTGACTGACTTCAACTGCACTATTAAAGTTTCCAAAACTTCTTCTACCAGCAAATGTAGACATAGAAGTTTCTTTGGATGATGAGAATGAACCAAAAGGATGTAATACAGGAAAACTCATTAAAGAGTCTTCATACACCACCTTTGTTTGGATTTCTTTTTGTTTTCCTTTACGATCGACTAAATTATATGAATCAGATCTTTCAGAATTAATTGAATGTTCAACTTTCTCATCTGTGATGGGATTCGTTGTGGTGACTAGATTCCTTTTCATAAACTTCAAATTGAGCTAAAGATTGAGTGAAAAGTAAGGAAGATTAGTTAAGAGAGTGGTGCTTTGGGGTAAGGGTTTTGATTAAAGAACTCACCGTGCCTGAAGATAGCATCTTGTTGAATGATAAGAGAAGCTTAAGGTAAAGAGAAGGTGAAATTATCAAGAAGAGGAAAAGGAGACGAAAGAAAAAAAGTAATTGAAATCAGAAACGTTACAAGTGCACACGGTCATATTCAACGCATGTAAACCCATAACCACGCGCTGTCATGTGGTTTTACAGCCATGAAATACCACAGACAAAAAGCGAAGATGGCCTGTGAGATTTGGTGGAGCGAATATGTACATATCCACAACTGAAAAAGCTCACCAAGAAGATTTAAGCAAGAAGCACTTTCTTCTTGAGCATTACCAATCTACTGATTCTGCAATGTATGGTCCAATCTTGATAACCCTGTCACCATCGACTTTGACCCTTATCCATTGGAAGAAAGGTCAAACATGCCTCTATACATTCTATAATTTATCAAACAATAACATTGCTTTTACAAATTCATATCTTCTTTCAAAAATGTTGAGAGAGATCCCTGGTTTGGATTGTAAGGGGGAACTTTTCCTTCCAGGGATGTCTGGTATTGAGATGAATTTCAAGAGAAAGTTGAGCTTAAATCAATAGCAGGCAAGGTACAGCCTGAAGGGTTCTGAATAAGACTTCCTCCCATGTTCTTGCCAAAATAGGTTCAGACAAAGTATGAGTGTGGATTTTGAATGAGACATTGGAGAAAAAGAAACAGATTTGCAAGGAGCTCATAAACAGGGCATATGATTCTTTCCAAATTGAGGTGTATGGACCAAGCCCCTGAGATGATGATCAGCATGTTGAAATCAGTTGAAAAGTAAGATCTTACATTGGTTTACTATTATAATAAATTCTGAAGCATTGATGAGCTTATTGCAACTTGATCTCTTGATTAATTAGAGAAAAGATCTGATTGGGTTGGTCCATATGACAGGTTTGGCACAAAGTATCAAAGTCCTATTCATGTACAGATTCTCTGAGTAAAAAAAGTGCATGATCTTTGTGTGTCCTTTGGGTTAATTTTCACAAGGATTCAAGGAGTTTATTCAGGATCAAGGAAATCAATAACATACTGGCCATTCACTTTAACTTCTAGAACTCAGTCAAAACAATTGCACATGTAGATAACAAAATGTTACATACATCACATGATCATGTACCATTTCAGAAGTCGTCATCTTCACAAATAATATGTCACACTAAACTTATCCACAGACACAGACAGACCTCAATTGCAGCAAGTTGAAAACTTCCTGTCAGTCAACATTGGTCTGACATCAACAGAAGGGAGATTAGACTGACATTGACTGACAGCTACTTTATAGATTTTGTTATTTCATAGAAAAGTCATTATGGCCATGGCCTCAGGAAAGCAGTATACAGTGATATCTGATAAGGTGAAATTGTGTACAATCAGATGGAACTGCAAGGACTTGTGGATTTGATTATCTTATCTAGCTGTGCTTTTAAAAAGGTCCACAACTTCCAACATAGAGCAACAAAGTTACTGTTGCTTGCTGCAATTTCATGGGACTACTTGGCAAACTTGGCAACTACTTGCTGTTATGAGTGCTCTATTTCCTCAGCTGGGGATATGGCTGCTCCAGGACAAGGATCTATACTTCCAAATACCATCACTTGGAAGGTGGGATGTAGAGATTGGATCTAGTGTGGAATTGTACCCATAGATCAGTTTGAAGGTGCAGTGAAGCACCTCAAGGAATACAAGGCACAACTGCAGACAAAGGGAAACAGCAAGAAGTAGTTTAGAGTTTTATCTTTCTCATTTTCTGTTCTAAATTTTATTTTTCATTCTTCTATTTACAATTTATCGTCTCTTGTTAATCATGTCTTTGGAGAAGCAAACTTTGTGTACATTTTTTTTTGAAAAACCAATCACACTGTCTTTGAAATTCAACTTTGTGTACAGATTGTTTTGAAAATCAATGATGGTAATCAACACCCAAATAAAGTCTTCTTCTCACTTAAAAAAGGTGGCTATGCGCAAAGCACTAATGGAAAAAAGATCAGCTTCTCAAATGCATCATAGTATACTCAGTGTTTACTGCAAGAACAAGGTCACTCTTCCTATCAAGGGGAAGCATTGGGTTTGGTCCAAAGATAAAATGTAGTCACCCAGATGTCCCCAATTCAAATTAATTCTTCATTAAACTCAGCACAATTACAATCACCTGCACACTTATTTGCCCAAATGGAAAGATCTTTATAAATGTAGTGTATTTTGTAATCATTGATTGCCAAAGATCATGAACGGGGGAAGTTATGTTGACAGGTGAAGATCTTTGCCTTTGGGCAAACAAGTGTGCAGTTCATTGCAATTGTGCTGAGTTTAATGAAGAATTATTTTGAATCAAGGACATCTGGGTGACTACATTTGATCTTTGGACCAACCCCAATGTTTCTCCTTGATAGGAAGAGTGACCTTGTTCATGCAGTCAACACTAAGTATGATGCATTTGAGAAGCTGATCTTTTTTCCAATAGTGCTTTGTGCATAGCTACCCTTTTTAAGTGAGAAGAAGACTTCATGTGGGTGTTGATATCCATTGTTGCCTGGTTCCCACAAAGCTTGCACCCATACAAAGGAACCCCATTGATGCCTGTACAATGCATGTAAAATACTAAGAGTATGTGGTCATCAGCTCCTCTCCAAGGTGTTGCCAACATCAGTTCAGGACTCACATGATGCAGGATCCTGCTCCATTGAATTTTTCACCCTGAACAAACCACACTAGAAATCTCAATGAAAATTATGAGTCACATAGAGGCCAAAATTCAGAAATGTAGAAGAAGAACTTTAGACAGTGTCCAATATGACTCCAGAAACACCAAAGATGAATATTGAGCCAAGTAGAAGATGAGAGTTGTTGATGTGCACCAAAAGATCTTTACCTGCAAGCAAAAGGAAATTAACAAATGTAGAAGTAGAATTTTATTCTGCGTCTGAGATGAGTCATATGGCTCTGCACCAAATAATCCTAGGTGTAATCAGTGTGATGATTACCAAACAGGAGTGCAGATGCAGCCTTTTTATATTCCTTTACCAGGTTGTGTGCTGTGTACTCTCCACATTGTTTGTGAACCTGATTGATAACCATTTACGTAAGTTTACTTCATGTTGAAACTGAAGAGAAAACCAGTTAGAGATTGCTCTCATTGCCAGAAAGCATGAGGCATCATCTGCTCCGGCGAGGAGAAACACATTACATCAGCTCTGAAATGTTTGAGCATAGCATTCAACATGTTAACTGCTCATCTCAACACGTATCATACTTGCTTCATGTGGAAACTGGAGAGAAAACCAGTTAAAGGTCGCTCACATCGCCGGAACGCATGAGGCATCATGTGCTCCAGCCAGGAGAACCAACATGTACACATTACATCAACTCTGAAATGTTTGAGCATAGCATTCAACGTGTTATGTAACTGTTCATCTGGACACGTATCATACTCACATACGTGTGGAGATGAGCAGTTAACATGTTGAATGCTATCATCAGCACTTTCACACCAAAATCAATTTCTCAAAACAGTCATCTGAGGACTGACCATAACGGTATGGTACGGTGGGTACTTACCTACCGTAGCGTTCTCCATTATCCATCGCGCTAGGGTAGAATCTAGATGACAATGAGGTCCTAGCGTTGCCAATACGTATGAATCAATCAGCTACTTTACTCACCATTCCTCCATACATAGATGAATCCAACTCCTTCAAATTGGTATCTCCTTCAACTTTGGTCTGGCTGAAAATTTTGGCATCAATATCTACGCTTGGTACAACTCTTTCAAATTGAGTCTCAGTATATTCCAAGCTTGTAATATTGTGAGATTTATTACTATCCCCTTCACCCAGTTATTGAGTGTTCACCAATCATTCTAGAGGATGAGTCGCTTTCTGGGTTTTTTTGAACCCTTAACCTGATGAACTCTTTCCCTCATCTTTAAACCCTTCAATCGTATATGTCCTTCCATTTGTTCACCTTCTCTTGGATTATGTTTTCCTCAATATATTATTGCGCTTCTGCACGCTAATGGCTCCATCTCGAGACCTTGCATTTCACCTTATGAAATAGTTTGGAATTGCTGATGAAGCTGTTGAGACATTGACAACCACCTGTGAGTCTCGTTGGAATTTCCTTGATGTTATTAAGAAATAAGCGCTGTATAACACGCCCACTGAACTTTAACATAGCTCCAACCCCTGTTGATCACTCTCACTCAAAGATAGAGCAACAACGGTCACGGTTCCGATTGATCTAATCGGTCAGATAATCATCCTTCGATTCCATTCTACAATCTGACAGGTTACAAGTTCATTGCTTTGATCAATCTTGTTACTGCTTTCTATGTAGCATTCCTCTAGAATCATCCTACATATAAAAAGCCTATATCTTCTAGGTCTGTCCTACCACGCATAGGTTGCCGCCCTTACCTAGGACCAAGCATCCTACACTTGTGTGGTTTGGGGATGGTCTCAAAGGGCAAAGAACCCAGGGAGTTGTTATACCACAACTCCCCTTCTTTACCCCTTGGGACGAGAACAGCACCGAGAAGGTATGACTTCTCTACCCCACCTCTCACGGGAGGGTAGAGCCGTGAGCCTGAGAAGTCGAAACCCCCCAAACTCAACTCACGTGAGAATTACTCACTCTCGGTCACCATTACAATCCCTCCAGGATTTCCTATATTCCTTTCACATCTATACTCTAAATTGCATTCCCTCGTGTATTCCATGCTCCAATTCTACAGATCTGCTGGATCTCCCCCAGACGCCTCCTTCCATCGTCTACCAAACCTTATCCATTAATTTTAAAGTTCATCAGCTACCTGCATGCATGCCCCAAAGCATTCCAAATACACTCACACTTTTAGAGTTTTCCCACTTTGCGAATTCCGCCGCTTTAACTCAATTAAACTTGAGCTCCTTCAATAGCGCAATTGTCTCTTTGAGCTCACGATGATCGAACTTCCTAAGATAAATCTTATAAGCGTCAGAGGCCCATCTCCCACATGCTTTCAATTCCTCTCTTGACGCCCCTAAGTTCCATCTTAATGAAGCTCCCCCAATTCTAAACGAATGCCCGTACAGCATTTGTTTCCCCTTTGGCCTATGCTCATTCCATATCCTCCTATATTTCTCTATTAGTGCCGACTTTCTATACACCATTCCTTTATCGTTTTCCTCTTGGCTATAATCTATAGCAAAAATCAAGTCCGAAGGTTTCCTCTCTCTAAACTCGTAAAGTAATCTTAAAGCTCTAACCGGATCTAAGCACGACTTTTGATCTTGCAAAAATATATACTGAAGTTCCCCTGGTGCCGCTGTCTTCGCTCCATGGATCGCTATCTTCGCATAAGCTCCCTTCGGACCCCATTCCACATCTTCCCATCTCAATAAATCTTTCTTCGGATCATTCGACACCAGTTCTCCTAGCCTTGCCGTTCCCCAGAACGCAACCAATGCTATCGTGGTCACCACTATCAATTGTTCGTTGGCCATATCCGTATTTTCCGCTAACACTACCAGATCCGAGATCATTACCGGTGGCCTTCGCTTCTCCTTCTCTCGATATTTCAGCTCAACCATCCTCAAGGCTTTCAACAACTTGGTCACTGTTTCATCCGAATCGTGTGGGTAAGACGCCCTGTGAAATGTATGCCATGCCTTTATCCCTGCCAAATACGACCTCAAAGTTGACGCTTTCACTGATTCGTCATTTTCAGCTAACTCTTCTCCTTTTTTAGAACCCCATACTACGAAGTTGATGATAAGATCTCCCGAGATTGGTAGCAGCCTCTCTCTATCTACCCTTTTCACCGAAGCAAACCTCAATAATTTTATAACCCCCGAATTGTAGTGCTTCAAAGTTCCATCAGCCCAAGATCCCCTCAAGAAATGTTGTTGGACCTCATCTACCTCTGAGTTATCCACTCCCAGCGCATCGCTCTTGAATGCCCCGAACGGCTTCGTCACCTTCGAAAGGCACCTCTCCTTGCCACCTATCAATAGGTCTTGCTCACCATCTCTTGTCCTCGATCTCCTAGGCATTCTTGGTTACTCACAATCGCAAAACGACAATTAACGAGACAAACGATAGATCCAATTAAACGATTACGGAGGGGTTATCTCTAGCGGACAAGACTTCTGCGACAACAACGGACAAAGGTCATTCGGAATATCTACAAACGTCTCATCATTCCACTCTCTCCCATCAAAAATCCCTCTCGATAACTCATCTGCCAGATTATTCTTTGATGTCACGCGTCTCTGCTTCACGTTACAGCCTAATTTTGTGAGTAGTCTCTGTATCAACTTCCATTCTTCATTCACTCTGACGTCCTTCGATTTCCGTTTCCTTATTGCATTCTCGGTTGTAGTGTTATCTGTCTCTACCCAGAAAGTTCGACCCCTTACCGGTATTGATTTCGCCAACACCAACAACCCCAGTCTAATCGTGACCGTCTCTGCCCACGCAATATTGCGTTTGCCTGAGACGAGGCCCTTCTCCAGCCAATCTTCTTTCCAGCCGAAACACGCCCACTTCGCTCCGACCAGAACCCCGATCCTAAACTCAGAATCAAACGTGTCAGGTTATTCCTTCCCTCTAAGACACCTCACTCGGCTTACCCAAACAATGTCGACGCATCCCCAACCCATCCCACTTCTTCTGGGATTGGGCTCGGTAGCAACGTACACGCCTCTACCGTCTCTAGGCAGACCTTCCATTCCCTCAGATCCGCTTTCACCGACTCCGTTGGGAATCTTCTTGCCTCTGGCCTCTGCCAGCTCTTCAGCATCCTATACAGCGAACAGAGAAAGGCTGCCATGTGCGGCACCACATTTATCGTGTGACTCAGCCTTCCTACCAGTGTCTCGACCCTTGACAAACTCCATGGATCTTTTGACGTAAGAAAATCCACTACCTGACCTAACCTTTGGTCTATCTTATCTTGTGGCAATCTAACCGTGTGCTTCTTTCCGTTCCAGATGAAGCCCAAAAACTTCTGCTCATCACCAAAATCGAAACTCTTCTTCGCATTCGTTTTCACCCCCAAACCTTTACTCAAATGAACCACATCTTCCAATTTCACCGTTTGTCCTGGTCGTCTGAATATTAAGTTATCGTCGACCCAACGGAAAATCATTGGTATGCTCAACAACTTCATTGTTATCTTCTTCCAAATATCCGCCGGAGCCCCAAAGACCCCACATCCTGCTACACCTCCAAACCCCACTGCCAAATCTATCCATATCCTCCCTCTAAAGTCCTTTATGCACAGAAATCTTCTCTGAGACGGGTGGTTACCTAGCTGACGATACTCTTTTTCCCAATCACAGATCGCTACATCCCAATCCCCTGGATTTTCACGGAAAAATTTCGCCACCACTTTAAAATCATCCCAACTCGTCTCGTAGTTCTTCTTATCCACAAACGAATTCACGGACGGTATCCCCGGTTTATTCTTCGGATAAGATAAGTCATTAATCAATCTAACTGACCCATCCCCGTTCACAGCACTCCCCATCGGATTACTCCTGAAGAATCCAAATTTCTCGTATACCTGTTCATGCGTGAAAGGTCCTATTATCCGCCCGGCTCTAGCTTCTTTCTCCAACGTCGCATTTATTTGATCTTTGGCTTCGAATGCTGACTCATGATTATCCGGGGTATACCACCTCTCATTCTCGAATTCGTGCTGCGGGATTCCTAAACAAAAACCATCCTGAAACCCCTCAATGATATAAGGGATATCTTCGTCCAATCCAACTTCCTTCATCAGTATTTCCCACTCTCGGATGTTCATCTCACACTTCACCGGACCCGGCCAATTACTCTTGACTTGTCCTCTACATGTCTTCCTCTGACTCAATGGTAAGATAGTCTTCTGTCTCTTCTCCCCATCCTTACCAGTACTCTCCTCCTCGGAGTCTAACTCATCTTCCCCTTCACTCAATCCACTCTCCTCTCTCTCTCTTTCAGCCTCTTCCTCATCCATCCTCACTCTCTCACTCTCAACGTCCTCAACTCGCTTCTGTTCATCTGGCTCTCGCACTTCAGTCTTACTAGTGCACACTCTAGGAAGTGGTCGCTCTCTACCCACGATCTAGATTCACACAAAGACATTTTGAATTCATTTCAACGTAAGAAACTCCTCTCTTCTCTCAAGTTCTTATTTCTCATCATCACTATCTATTTTAACTACAGGAGAGACGAACCCAAATCAACAACAATTACGTGATTCACCCTGAATTGCCAAATGCAATGGACCATTACCGATTCCCCGAGCCCGATTAAATCATATAATCACTTGTCAGCACTTCAATCCTCAGACTCTAATCGTCTATGAATGCTTACCGATCACTCTTTCCCTCTCCTTTCCCGTACCTCTTTCCTCCTTTCCCAGAACCTGAAGCCTGCGTGCTTGCATGCTGCTGCCCTAAGGCCACCCAGTCCTTGCTCGCCTCCCTCTTCTGATAGCTACCCTGTGGTCTCAACGGTGCCATCACTTGAGGTTTCGGGTAGTGGCCCCTATTTCCTCCCCGTTGTCCCCTTCCTTTCCAACCCCCTCTATTTTCCTCTGGAGTTGTTCTCGAAAGGTGAGCTATCGTGGGATCTTGCTCCTGTCCTGTCTTAAACACCCAACCGTACTTCGGTTGGCCTAGCGCATACGGGTTGCCCTCAAATTTCAAATCTCCAGCCATCTGGGCTTCCCACCTTGCGTCTTCTTCCGCCCCCGGCTCAATCCCATCTGGTAACACCACCTCTTCAACTTTCCGCTTCCTCTTCCCCTCTTTCGTTTTCTCGTAAGTCTCCTCCGTTCTCACCCTGAATGTTAACGCTCTTATCGCTAAGTGATACCGTAGACCTACCATCCAACATTTATGCTTTCTCGCTATCTTACTGACAATCGCTTTATGTCTCTCCACATATTCAGCATATTCCTTGAACTTGTATCGCTCCAACGCATACCTATACTCCAAGTCACACGCTAGACTAAATTCACCATAAGTCATGTGGGATTCTAATTCTTCTCTCGAGTGTAGGTGATGACTGTCCCACTTGTATCTTCCGAGCTTTGACTTGCTTGATGATTTGTACTCATCTATATATGATGCCGTAAATACCGTCAAAGGTACACAATATCGCATCCTCCTAAAATTCTTCTCCCATTGTGGTGGAAGGTCCGGAAGATCGTAAGCGCTCACCTGCTTGAAGGAAAACACTAGCGGTCGTTCTCTTTTCTTCCCACCCGCTTCTGATGAACCAGATTCCGATTCCAAACTTCCTGAGGATTAGTCTTCCCGCTTCGACCTCTTGCATCTCTCCTTCCCTTTTCCTTTCCTCGATTCTCCCTTCCCCTCATCTGATGAAGACAAAGCCGTTGACTCTGATTCCGAAGACGACGAACGTCCCCCTCTACCTCTCCTCGACTTCCTTCTTCTCAATCCTGACTTTGATCCTTTCTCTCCCCCTTCCTTCACCTCTTTCTTAGCCAACTCCTCCTCCTTCCTCTTCATTTTCATCTCTTCCTTCAGCTCCGCAAAGTCAACATCGTCTCCGAATTCAATTACTTCGGCTAAACGGTCTAGGAGTGGTCTACCGTCTGGTATGCCCCTTCTCTCCTTCTTCTTGTCCGTTCTCAACTCCTTCAGACCTACTGAACCAACCATTCGCCCCCATTCCAGCCAAATAATTCATACGTCAGCTAAAGGCTCTATCCCCTATGCATTTCATCATTGACAGCTTCTACACTACTGTGGAGCGTCCCTATTATATCATGATTCCCCCCTTGGGCGGAATCACTCCTTCCTAGTCATTTCCCTTCAGGAGGACTTTACTGGAGCGCCAAGCTGCTCACAATCTTCCAGGGTGCGTTCCTCCACTCAATCATTGTAGAGCGATCACTTACAATTATCTTTCTCCACCAACATCCCGTAATCCTTCACATTTCTCAACCAACCTTCTTCTCCTCCTGAATCTTCCGATGAATCTACCCTCTTCCCCTTTCCTTTCTTCCCCTTCACCCTCTTACTCTTCTCCTTCTTCTGAATCTTCTTCTGAATTTCTTCCTTTGTCAATTCCTCACTTGACACTGACTCACTCCCATCTTCATTCGCCTCTTCTCCTCCTTCTTCCAACACCCTTTCTCTTCTCCCTTCTTCACCCTCTCCTCCCATTCCTTGACCTTCTCCACCATCATCCCTCGGAATCACCGCACCATCACCCTTTCCTTCCCCAGTCATCGTAATCTTCTCTTCATCTCTTGTATTAGAAGTCGATTGGGTTCCTCCTGGGGCTCTCGATTCCATCCTGCGCCTCCGGTTTTCTGCATCGCTTCTTATATCGGGCGGATTCGCATTCTTCTTCTCCTCGGCTTGTTTCATGGCCTGAATCATACTTTCTGATTTATATGTCTTTATTCTTTACTGTTCTCCTCTTAAGTTGCCTCCACATTCAATGTTCCTTCCGTTTCAAATTCTCTGATAAGTTTTACCTATTTATTGTTCTTGCAATTACGCTTGAGATTTTGTTTTGAAAAAAAGATTCTAGATCAAGAATGAGACTTGCCAACTTTGAGCGCAGGATAGGTAGAGAGGATGTATTCGAGTAGAGAGATGAAAACTCTGTCTCTCTTCCTGTACATCCTTGAACTCTCTTCCTCCCGTGAAAGGTGGCGTTTCCCCTTTCACGAGAGAGTCCCGGTCCTATCCGCACTCTCAGTTTCCACCTGTCGATCGGACATGGACTGATGTGTACCTCCGCAAGCTCAGGGAACACTTCCAATTTCCTACAGATCTTTTTGACAAGTCGAGAGAATTCCCAGCCACCATGGATATCAAGGACAACAAATCTGATCACATTTTTCTTATTTAGTTTTCATAATTCATGTCACAAGGTTTCAATAGCACAGTTCAGGTTGAAATGAAGAAAGCTGTTTGACTTGGGCCTTTGTGATTACTGAGATAATGTTTTTCAATTTTGAATGAACTTGCTTGAGTATGTGATCTGATTCAAGCTGCTATAGTGCACACATTAAGTTGACCCAATTCAAGAACTTAACCGTGATGGCTATTCTCATGGTAATTTCACTCCTTAATCACTCTCACCGGAGAGAGAGAGATGCCATCAACACCCACGCCGCACCGCTCCGCTCCGCTAAAACCCCAAATTTTACGAGCGTAGTGATTCCGCGCTATGAAAAAAAATCAATCGCTACGCTATAATTTTCCAGCGCTATGGGGTTTTCAGCGCGATGCGGGTTTAAAAACTGCTCCGCACCACTATCGCTCAATCTCACAGGGATTAGCGGCTCAGAGTGTATTTTTTTGAAGCACTAAGGGGTTTTCGAGCGTAAAAATCGCTCCGCTCCACTACCACTCGATCTCACATGAATTGGCGCCTCAGAGTGCTACAAAGCTTGTAATGTTTTGTTCAATTAAGCCATATTGATTACTTAGTTGTATTATGATAGGCTGTAGAGGACGAGAGAGGACAATGAACAATCAAAAGAAAAATGTGCACAACTATTTTTGGTTTTTTTTGAGTTCTTTTTGAAGAACACAGACAAAAAGCTAAGATAAGACAGATGTTTTTGGAGTTTTATCAAATTTTGAAGGTAAAATATAAGAACACACACAAGGTAATTTAGGGTTTTTTGTATTGTTGGGAAATTATAAAAAGGAAAAAGATGAGATGACAATGAAATCATTTTTTATTATTTTTGTTGCCGGAAGTTTCATAAGCTTCAAGGTATGCTGCAGCATCAGCAAATATACCTGATAAAGTAACCTTCAATTTCAACCATTCACGTGCACTGACTAGCATCTGGATCACCTTTGCTGTCAAAGAAGCACAAGAAGGAACTGCAATATTAGCAGCAGAAGAGAAAGTTCTCTCACAAGGGCAAGAGGTGCCCAATATACCAAGATAGTCACAAGCGAGAGTTGCAAGGACCGGGAAATCCCTCTTGTGTTCCTATAAGCAGATACACAAAATCAGCAATGGGATTGAAATTGTAGAGATATCAAAAGTGGTAAACTTACTCTCCACCAGTCTAGCTCAGACTGGCCCTCAAGCAACAAATGATCACCATCAACGTAATTGCCACGTTCCTCATTGTGTTTATCAACAGGTGACTGAGATGACACTTGAGTGGTAAAGACGTCAAATTGTGAACACATCGGGCTGGGAGAGATGAGATCAGGTGAAGTTTGAGTAGCTTGATCACTTTCTGAGGTCGAGGTGATAGGATCTTCAACCCATTGGGCCAGAGCACCTTCAAAAGCATCTATAAAAAGTTTCTTGGCTCGAACAGCATCTTCAGGATAGTTGAGGTCAAAAAACCGGACCCAAAACCAAGGATTGAGAACTGTAGATAAGACAATTGCGTCACAAGCAACAGCTTCTGCTTGATACCCCTCAAGTTTATACAACATTGATTCAATCATAGACTTCAGGTCTTGATCCTCACAGGCATGCATAAGGTTATTGAGTTCGAGAACCATGCGTGAGTATTCGGCTAGTAGGATGCAGCCGGTGGGGGAGTCGCCCTCCATTTGTTTGGTAGCGTGCAAAAACACCTACAAACAGACATTGAGATGTCAACAAAAGAAATACACCACAAATGATTTCAAAAAAGAATGAGAAAGAAGTATGATAATGACTAACCTCAAGTATCTTAACCAGACTCTCAATGGAGTCCCATTCATCGGTGGTTATATGGAGACCCTGATAGTATTGAGTCTTGCGGTCACTCAAGTGAATTGCGTCTACAGCCTACAGATCAAATACATTTGGAGAGGGGTAAGGAAGACAGAGATAGTTAGAAACAAGATAATAGAAATGTTAGGGAAGAGGTGAAATCACTTATGTCGCGAGCATCACTGAGCCGTTTGAGGTAATCAGTGTTGACGTTCCAACGCACACCCCATCCAGATATAGGTGATTGACTCTGGTGGTCCAGTTGCTTGGCTTTGGCTATGAACTCTTGCCTTCTTGCAGAGCTCCTGGTACACAGTCCATTAAACTTTTTGGCCTATATTATATTGAGATAATTAACAAGTCTAGAACTTCATTTCTATTCTGTCATATTCAATATTTATATGATTTCAACTTCATCTATTTCATTTGAAATCATTATGTCTTCTTCTTCTCTATCTATTCATGTACCTTGGTTCTACAAGATCATCTTTTATATATAAGATTGAACGTTTCCTCAACTATTGTTTCCCTTTTCTCATTCATTCTTATCAGTATTTTCTCGTACCACTAGGTACTTTGCTTTTCCACATCACTTGTGTTCTTTTTAGCACTTAATAAAGAACTCTTGTGTTCTTCCAAAGGTTTGTTCTTTTATGTAGTGTTGTGTGTTAAAGCAATTCATTCTTATCAGTGTCTTCTTGTACCACTAGGTACTTTGCTTTTCCACATCACTCCTGTTCTTTTTAGCACTTACTAAAGAACTCTCGTGTTCTTCCAAAGCTCGTACTCTTATATACCAAAGGATAGATTAGTAAGAGAAAGTCAAGAAGGGAAGGATCAGACTGAAGAATAGTAATCCAATCAATGCTCACCTTTTTGACTGCCCAAGCCACATCAGATACGGCATGAGTGCCACCATTTTCAGAACCAGAATCCAATGAGTCGTCTGCAGGAAACTGATCTAGTTTGTTCTCATCATCATAATCATCTTGCCCGTCCTTGGAAGAGTCCATTGACATGTTATTGTTGCCATTGTTCGATACCATTGTTGGGGTTGGTAACGTAACTCCAGGTAAAGTTGTGGGCTTGATGTGACCAGCACTCATACCTAGCAACTTAAGGCTGGATTTGACTACTAGGCCAATCTTATGAGTATAGCACTCAACTTGATTGGCCAAAGAATCCCAGTCAACAGAGTCCTTGGCGTCCAGGAACATGGACAATAGCTCATGTGCCATGGTAGCATTGTAGCTAGGTGAATCCGTTGTTTGAACTAGCATGTAGAAAACAGAACATTTCCGGTTAGCTTTGATTCATCAAAAGAAAGTTGAAAATGATTTGTAATGTGAAAGTTATAAAAAAAGATGAAAGACTTATCTTTTTATGTAACCCATTTGCAATCAAAAATCTCCCAACTGGCTGTGCAAGGAGACGGCCAGTGTGGTGCCAGGTGACTAATTTGAGAGTTAGATGAATGGTTTGGAACTTCCAATTGTTGTCGACATAGGTAGCCAACACCCCAATGAACGCTTTACAACAACCCTTGGTGGTTCAAACGTCGTAAATGAGGCAGAACTTGCCTTTGTTGACCTAAGGAAATCAAGAACAAGTTAGAAATGATCAGCTTACAATTCATAAATAGATATCAAGTATATATATACAGAGCTTACTTGAAGTTTGTTAATTACAGCTTGAGAGAGCTCCTTATACATCTTCTTGGATGTCTTGGACGCCCAGGTGGTACCTTGAATGATGGCCGATCAATTTGACAGTTCAAAAGCCGCATGGAGAGCAGGATCAATGAATCGAGAGAAAGGGAGACCATGTCTGAGGATCCATATCACTAAGACATGGTTAAGAAGCTCCACGCTAAAGGTTGATTGGGCGAGAAATGAATTTAAGGTCCCTTTTGGGTTGGCAGAGGCAACTCAAACAGTATTGTCCTGTTGCTGTTTCCAAGTCCGAGGCAGATCGTGACCGTCCTTGATCGCAAGATGCCGTTTGGGACATGCCGGTCATTCTTTAGCCCCATCTCGATGAGAGTATAAGTTGTAATAACTGCACCTCCCTCTGGTGAAAAAGCAAAGGCAGTAGCAACACTTGTATCTACGTGGATCATTACCACTTTACCACTCTAATCAAATCAAAAAGTCAGTAAAACTATTGGAATTAAGAAAGTTAAAAGAAAATATGTATTATGATTGAACATACCTCGCCTTTCACATGAATAGGATCTTCGTGATGAGCCTAGAGTGTGGCAGCACGCCCAAGACGAGCATGTCTCACTCCTGGTGTCTCAATCTCAATCTTGTCACCTGACTCTTGATAGAGATCAAGACCGGTAGGGACGTTGTAGTCCTATCATAAAGAAGACAAAGCAAATCAGCTCTCCAAACCTGAATTATAAACAAAAAGTGACAGTGAATTACCTCCATGATTGTGTTTGATTTGAGTTTCTTTACCTTGATCACACGAGAAGATGTAGACGAGTTGGAAACAATGCAAGCCACCGAACTCTTACGCTTGCCATTTCTAGTTTTACCTTTGGCATTCTTAGGGAGTCTTTTCTCCAGGTGAATTTGAACTCGACCAGGAGCTGGTACTACAGTCGGTGGATTATTGGTTCCTTCGGATGCACCATCTTCCGATTCAGTCACAAACCCATCCAATTCTTCGGTAGGTAATTGAAGGGCTTGACAGGAGTCTGGGGATTGGATGATGAATCCAGGTCGAGCCCGTACTGGGCTACGGGTTTGAAGCAATCTAGATGGGACAGATGGTGAAGCTAGAGAGGTCGGAGGATCAGGTTGACCAGTAGACTGGCTGGGGTTGTTGGTGTTGGTTGTAGATGAAGGCATGATGAAATCTATGTAGTAGACCGATTGAATGGGATCTAGGATTAAAAAGAGAAGAAATTGACAGATCGAGATGAAATTGTTTGATTGAGAGGAAAGAATTGAAACAATAACTGATATGTAGGATATAAAAGTGATGAGACTCACCTAAGATAAGAAGGTGGGATTGGAACGAGATCAAGAATTGAAAAAGAAATTATATCTATGGAATAGATGTGAGGAGGGAAAGACTTACCTTGATGAGGATGTTTTATAGTCAAAACCGGGGACTCCAACCAACGACAAAACAACAGCATCCTGAAAGATTCAAGTTTTCTGATTGCTTGGGACCGTACATGGTGAAATGTGAGAAATGTGTGATAAGATAGTGATAGGATGGTGAGAAGTGGGAATTGAGTTGATTGCTGAGTTGATGAATTGTTGGAGTTGACTACGACAGTGATCAAATAGCATTGAATAGCTGTGATTGTGGGTTGTTGATTGTGATCGCGGGTTGTTCATTGTGGTTGTGGGTTATTGGGCGATCGAGGGATGAGGTCAAGGGTTAGTGGTGGTATTGATGAAGGGTTACATACCCTTAACCCTTGGTGGCGCTGGGGTTGCCATGAGATCTGGTGTGCTTGGGTCCGCTCAGGGCGCTATACAATTTCTAGCGCCATGTTGCGCTACAGGTCCCTGTAGTGGTGCGGTATAACGCTATACAGAGCGCAAGAATAAATTGCTATGATCACTGTGGGGCTGACCATAGCTATAGCCCCAAGAAAAAACCGTGATCTGGTCAAACCCCAAGCCCAGGCGGTGTGCGCGCTCTGCTTGCGCTTTCTTGGGCGGTGCGGCGTGGGTGTTGACAGGGGTCACCGGACTTTCATCAAGAGAGCAATGTTGATGCTATGTATCATTCTATACTCAGAAATAACCACATAATCAATTAGGATTACCCTTAAGGGTTTTCATCCTTGACTGAGGAAGTGCAGGGGATTGTTCAGTAAAAGCCTTTCATAAAACCCATAGTTCAATCAATGACCATAATCATCACATCATATAAAGGTTCAAGAAAACAATGAAGACACAGCATATCAAAGTAATGAATATGGAAAAGGGTTTGATGATATCCACCATGTCCTTGTGGCAGTCGCCCGACGACGAGCGCACACGGACTCCCTTTGAGGCACAAAGGCGACTCGTGTGCGCTTGTCAACAAGCTAAGACCACTGCAGGACAAGGAGAAATCATTTTCTCATCATGCCTCTGTCTTTCTCACAGGAATCCCTTTGCACTCACATACAAGTGACCAATTCTTTCAGTCTGACATGTTAAGTATACATTTTTTGATGTAGTTTTTCCAAACAATGATTCCAACTCAATTATGGACTAGCTCTCTTTGATCTTTCTTGGTACATTTATCTCTGCAGTCAGGCAAAAATTGCTTCATGGTCTTATATAAGTAGTCTACAAAGTATTCCAACCAACCAATTTTGGTTTGTATAGGTTGAGAATGACACATATTCAAACAGCAATAAGTAATGAGGTATCTATATCTGCTTATATACCTTCCTATAACTTCTGCTTGGGTATTTCAACAGGGATATTTTGTCTGTAGTCTTGAGCTCAACTCAAAGTGACTGTGATCTTAAGAAAGGTTGAAGTTAATACGGAATGCACTATTTCTCAAAGAAAAGGAACACAATATCAGGGTAGATAGAGATAAGTAGTGAGGCTATGATTTTACCAATGATTTATTGTAAAAACTACAAACAATGTCAATAGAGGAGTACAGCAACAACAAAATCTCATAGAAACAACAATGAATGACACACAACACAGCAGTCATTGTCCAGTTGGGCACTGTAAGAAAAGAATAGATAACCTAGGGAGAACCATATAATCTTCAATTCTTGGGTGCCAATCAACTAAATTGCCTAAATGATTGAACAGCCATCTGGATTTGTAGTAGGATAGCTGATAGTCAACGTAGCACCTGTATCGGTGTTTGGGTTGGTGTTGGTAGAGCCAGCTGACATGCCAAGAGAGGCACCCTCACTACACCAAATGTAATCTTTACCGGGCGGTAAAGAAAACTACTGACGTAGAAAAGTCCTGAGGCAACAGGAAGCGAGCTAAAATTCTGAACAAATATGCACCTTGTTCCTAGATGTTGGGGTGTCATAATGAGTATTTTTTTGTATTTTACACGCAGATATTGGTTTATGTACTAACAATAAACGCTGAAAATCATCAAAAACTCACATGTAACAATACCTGAAATTTGGGTCATGAGTATGAAGACAATATTTTGTGGTCTAAAAACTTCAATAACTTTTGCAATTCTGCTCCAAATATCTTGATTTTTGGTTCATTCAAAAGCTGAACTATTCTCCTTCACACTTCATAATGTTAGTAAGGTGCTATCTAGTCATTTAAACACTCTACATATGTTCAAACAGTTCTGCATGAATAGCTCTGTAGGATCTTTTTTAGACCAGCTACAGATGTGATGTCTCAAGAAAAAT